AAACTGATGATGTTTTTATAATGTTCAAGTATTATTGTTATGATTTTTCTTAAAACTGCAGTGATTAAGGGAAAAATGTTGGAATAGATCAAACGAAAATTTGCAAACTGATGTGGGCCAACCAAGATCACTATGTGGAAAATCTGACCATAGGAGATGGCAAGGACTACCTTAAGGAACAGAACCTGAGGATTTTGTAAAAGACAGAGAAAATACTGGTCAAAACAATTTCCTGATCTGTGGTAGACCTCCAGGATGCCTCTCCTCAAAAGAAGAGCATTTGGCTAAACCTGGCCCCGTTTCCATGTATTGATATGTGCAGAGCTGGCTAGGATACATTTTTATCCCCTCAGTTGGCTTTAGGCAATGCAAATGGATCTTGTGGAGGTGCTGACGTGCAGCCTTTAAAGCAATGCAACAGGTAATAACACCCCACCTCCAGCTCCCAACTAGTGCGTGTGTGAGCAAGGCCAAAGGACACTGCACTGTTGCTGGGACTGAGCCTCAAGAAAGAGGCCATGACATTTCAGGGCATGAAGATCACACATCAGAGCTGAAGCACCAACCCCTAAACATGAGATGCTCACTCGATCTGTGTTATGTAGATTGCTCTTTCATCATATCTTTCTTTGCATATCGCAGAGGTGCTGTTGTGTCTCCTACCTAGCCCAGCTCACAGCACTCATGTACTTCCCACATTTCTCTCAGTCACTCATCCCAGAATCACTCCTTTCTTCTTGAATTAATGAAATCCAGATTTGGTCCCGGGTCGTGGCCTCTGTTCCAGTTAGCCATCATTCTGCTGGATTTAGGACATCCTTGGTGCCCAGCTACAAATATGCCTTGGTGTGTGTATTCTCACCATGGATTGTGCTGGAAGTGGTAGACTGGGAATTACTTATTGGAATTCCAATACCTTTCCCTGGGATCACAAATGTAGACTCCTATGGACCTCAAAGAGGTTCATGAAGGAATTCCTGTACTGATCTTTATCTTGTTCTGACCTCAGAGGATTCTCCCAACACTGCAGCCAGAAAGTTCTCAATTAATAGAGGAATGTGCCACCTTAGAAGGACTTTCAGCTAACTAAACATTGTAGATACACTTGCATTCAAACTGCCTAACTTCTAGTAAGGCAAAAGCCGAAGCTTAAACATGTATTTAGATTAGTAAAAGTGAGGTCTCCAGTTGACCATCCAATGTACCCAAAACTATCTCTCTTAAAATTAATCATTCTTTTTAAATTTTGATGAAAAGTCATTCCTTTCTTGAGTCCCTCTGTTTCTCTTTCTGTCTCCCTCCTCTCCTCCCCTCCTAAATGCCCAGATCTGTCTGTCTGTCTGTCTGTCTGTCTGTCTGTCTATCTATCTATCTATCTATCTATCTATCTATCTATCTGCTTCTTTTACAATGTAGGATTACACTAGACACTTAAATAGGAAATTTGCTCTCTTTCACATAATACACCAGTGATATCTTACAGCACATTCTATTTCTCATGTTTTTAATGGCTTCATTATATTTTACTTTAAAAAATAGTGTTCTATTTTAGTCACTTATTTGTCTTTAATTCACAAAATTTCAGTCATAAAAACATCAAATGTACTATCAAGTTTTTAATGGAATTTTTGACATAACCCATACTGCTTAAAACATTTATTTCAATTATGGTTGGAAATTTCTTTTTAAAAATGAGGCAATACACTCTTATTAATAGCATTCAATTCTCAAAGCATCAGACATCACAATGGACTGACAATTATGGTTGTGGAAATCTTTGTATCATATTAAAAGATTCTTGCATTTTGCTTCAATCTAATGGTTTGTCAACTACGTGGAATTAGGAATCAAAGTAAGCATTCTTGTTAAAGGGACATTACCCTGTATCAGTCATCCCAAGAGACTCAGGCAGTTTGGAAAAAGGCAGACAGAATGTCTTGCCAAGAATCACATGGTGGGCAAGGATATCGCACCTCACTGACATTCTTGCTCTGTTCTCTGGCCCAGCCGATCCTTGCCTGACAGCAAGAGCAACAGGGACACAGAAAAAGTAGAAGATAGAGGGCAAACAAAACTATCCTCTTCCTTGGACTCACATGTTGCCTTATAGTTTTCAGGATAGACCTTCTAGCTCAGCAAGGACATCTATCTCTCTTGGGATAGGGAACATTGTCTCCCAAAGAGAAACAACATCAAACAAAATCATTTGATTCTACCTTACTTATGATGTTGGAGTATTTGATGTCCACCATCTGAGAAAAAAACAGAATGTTTAGCAGCACTGCTCACAAAATGAGTGTACTGATCACTCTGTTGGTTCATCAGTATTTGTCAAACACCTAAATATTTACACAGTTAATTACTAATTGTTAATATTCCCATTACACATGCAAGTCCTATGATATTCTTGTTCATAGCCTTGGGCTTTCTCCCCACTGGGGAAGGAAAAGTCATTTAAGAAGATATTACAGAATTGATTTTAATTACAATTGCACTGAATTTCCCATGAAGAATAATAGGTTTGATGGAGTTAGGGAGGACTTTCGCAAGCAAGACAGAGCTGAGTTAAAATCTGCAAGACACATAGGAGAGAGGCACAGGAACCTTTCAGTCAGAGGGAGGAACCAAGGCCTTGACTTAGAGCACCAGTACACAAGAAAGCAGGTTAAGGCTCCTAGAAGCTAGAAGTGAGACAGGGGACACAGACAGAAAAAAAGACAATGAAAAGTCCTACAGACCAACAAGTTTGGTCTTGATCCTTAATGCAGCGAACAGCCTATGAGGGTTTTCTAGCAAAGAGCAACAGGCTTAGAGTTAGATTTGTAAAAGATGACCATTTGATTTTGTGAGTGGCAAGCAGGGAATGAAGAGAAATTAATTTGTACAGAGAAATGTTGAGGATGTTGCAATGAATTATGCAGCTGACCACATAGCTTGGACCAGGATGATAGAGATAGGGTGAAATAGATTAGGGTCTATTTAGGAAGGAAAATCAGTAAAACTTGAAGTTATTTAAATGTAAGAGGCAAATAAAGGGCACATTAATGTCAACTACCTGGTTTCTAGATGACGCAGCTCCTGAAATAGCCATTCACTGAAGATGCCAAAGTTTGGTATGAAGGCTCACAAGCTGTATGGATGATCACAAGACATTGAAAAAACTAACAACACCCATTAACACGAGCACTGTCCAAGGTGTGCCTGTGCTATGCCTGAAATGGATCATCTAACTGCCTTCTTTTCCATCTTTTTAGAGACAAAAAACTGAGACGTGGGGAAGCTTATTAACTTATTAACTTATTACCATTCTCAGAGTTTAAAATTGGCAGAGCTGAAATGTACACTTACATCTCTCCAGTTTTAATGCGGGAGCTTTTAATGACCAATCCATACTGCTTTGTGACACCTAAGTCCCATTTGGGAAAAATTTCACAGCATCAAAAAAAAAAAAAAAAAAAGTGAACCTCAATGAGGAACTGAGACCTGGTATTTCTAGGAAATCTTCAGACCTTTTCAGGTTTGCTAGATGATGGTTCCATGCTTTCTGCCATTCTTTACTTCTAGCTGATTCATTTTCTTCCCCTTGCTTTTGCTCAAACCTCAAAGTGACCCACGGCTTCCTATCCCTTCAGTCTTGGCCTCTGCAAATTCCTGTAATACTTTCAGTCTCACTATTCATCTTGACAATGGCCATATAAAGGTTACTCTTTAAAATTTCAATGTAATTTCTACTTCCTAATATAATATGAACTGTACTGTCTTTTTAAAAGTCTTCCATATAAAAAGCCAGACTGTTGTAAACAAGCTAAAAAAATACAACTTTCAAACTATGCCATGTGGTAGATCCAGCTAGTGGCTAATTGTTTGATTTTACTATCACCTTTATTTCTAGATACATAGTAGAGACTCATTACATATGCATGTGACTTGGACACATTGGACCATGTGTTCTTGCCAGAGTAAAAAAACACAATTTTAACAAAGCAGACCATTATTCTCATCATTCCATCCATGAGTATATGTCCCATGAGATAGGGGATGAATTTTCGGTTCTTATAGCTGGTTTTAATCTCCAAGGACCTCCTCCAGTATAAGCAATTCTCCAGGAAGATTATAATTTTATTGTTTAAATGTAAATATTTTAAATATACCACTGTCTTGAACTTCAGTAAATGATATTTCCTAATCCTTAGTGAAGGAAGTAGTAACTTATGCCAAAACTAAAGAAAACTCACATTTGAGCCACTGCTTAAGAGACAAAGCCTGGCAATTCTTGCTGTATGCAGTTTGTGCCTTACACACTTTCTTTGGGGAAGAACTCCGAAGATATGACTACACTCCCAGCAGCATATGTTCCTGGAATCATTTCACTTTTAATTTGCAGCCTGCTTTCACTATTCAATGAAAATGAGCATGAATTGGGAAAGGGAAGCACTGATACAAGTGACAAACATACATCATCAACAAATGAGGCAGAGATGGAAATCATTAGACCTCCTGAAGTCAAATAGGAACAAACTGAACAAAATTATGCAACAGAGAGGAAATGCTAAACCTGGGTCCAACAAACAAGCAGTTATTGGACATTTTACTATCATCTTTAACTTTCTGGAAAAAAAATCTCTAAAATAAATTGCCCACATGTAGACATTATAGCAAAAACATACTTTAGAAAAAGGTCAGGCACATCTTTCTGTACCTGTTCTGTTGTGCACCAGGTCAAAGTTGATTCTTGCCCCTTTGAATTTTATGTAGTAAACACAATTGCTGGCACTTATCATTATCTAGACTGCAAGTTTCTTTCTGGGACATTCTAGGTCTCACTAATCCCTAGACCTCAGAGAAGGATTGGCTAAAGAGGGCCTCTCTGCAAAGGCTGAAGACCAAGTGAATAGGTGAATTGCCAGATCTGCTTCTCTGAGATTTGCTTCTTGAAATGAAAGACACTCTGTAATATCCATCAGGTTGTTGCTTCACTGTGCACACTGTTGTGTCCTTACCTATCCAGGGAAATGCAGCACAGGTGAAAAATTGATGCTGTTGTGAGCAGGACGTCTAGAGATGTCCGGACAAGGCAAAACATCTCCCCATAAACCCAGATGTCTTGGACCAGCTCGATGGCTCCAAATGGCATCACCAGCACTGAAACCAGCAGGTCAGCAAAGGCAAGAGACACAATGAAATAATTGGTCTTTATTTTCCTGTAAATAAAAATATACAAGGGAGAAGGCAGGAGGAGGGACCAATGGAGAAGGGAGGAAGAAAAGAACAAGAGAAGGAAAGGGAAAAGAGAGGCAAAGAAATAAGGAAAGAAGAGAGAGAAAAGGGGGGAAAATGATACATTTAGCATATTCTGTGAGATTGATTTTCCCCTTTTGTATCAAGATTGAGAAGCCGCCCAGTGTCGGGCCAGTTCTGACTTCTCCACTTTGTACCAAAAGCCCTGTGGGAACTCTGGCCTGATCTAAGTGTCCTTATGCATCTGGCTCCCTCCCCAGTGTTTTTTATACCAGTGCTCTCTTCCTATACTGGTTTCTCATCTTTGTTTCAGTCCTAGGCTAGACACTCTCAGGAACCCTTCCCAAAATGCAGCCCTCACAAACATTTATATACTAACATTTTACACCTGTAGACTGGTTACTGTGTGCCTCACATGTGTGACACTGGTCAGAATTGTGCTTTTCTGCTTCATTTGCAGCATTATTGGACCAGTGCTTATCTTGCTGAGAGAGAACTTGCACTATGTGCCACCTTTTATGGCCCAGTGACTCTCAGTCCAGATGGATATGAGAATCGCCTGGTTTATTTAATAAATATTAATGCCTGAGACTTCCTCCCAGATCAATTAGTTTAGAAACCTTGGCTTATTTGCATCCTCTTGAAAACAGTGGCATCTTAAACACAGGATGTGGGCTAGGAATGTAACTCAGTAGTATAGTGCTACCACACTGATACCACACTGTGGTGCTTTTTAAAAGCACTCAAGTTGAATTGCTGCCAGGTTCAAAAGTGAAAATTCAAGAGTAGAAGACCCAGGTTTAATTCTAGGTCAGTTGCTAGTCAGTCATCCTTTCCTGAACCACTGATACAATGTGGAGGTTATAGATCAAATATGCTCTCAATAACTGCATATAAAATAGTCACAACTATTTAAACAAACTAGTACTTAGGAAAAAAGACAGGATGGAAATACACAGCAGTGCTTATATTGCTTATGTAAGAGCTGTAGGTCTATGTGTGATCACTTCATTCTTCTTCTATTTTTCAAAAACAATTCCCCCTGCTAATTGAAGATTACAAGGTTAATGTTCAGACCTGACTCTCCAGGGGAGAGCCCAGAACTCCACCTCCACTTCCTAAGGGGCCCCCTTACTGCTCACCTGAGCTGCCTATCCCTGCACACAGCCACCATCACCAGCAGGTTGCCCAGGATGGCCATCAGGATGACTGCCGAAAGAAAGGTGAGCAGCACGACCTTCTCCACTGACCCGAATCCCTCCTTGGAACTAGAAGACACAGGCACACAAAAACCACAGAGAATTTAGGACTCCAGAACATGCAAAAGAACATTTATCTTATCTTTCTTGACGCTGAGGCAGGTAAACTCAACATGTACAATTCCAACACACACATATATCATGTACTTAATGTATTCCATAGTCTGTACCTTTCACTCAACAAGCTTTTCTGATTAATCCCTGTAACATGAGAACATGAGGTTTAGAGTAGCACACTAGCCTGGGTTATTGTCCATCAGAGAATGTACTTAGAAATGTATTTGGCTGCTTCCTGTTTTGTGTACCAACCTAACTAGACTGTACGCTGCAGGAGGTAAGGATTTCTGCTCTTCCCTGCTGTGTATTTAATGTGCCATTCACATTTATCAGATGGAAGAACGATGGTGCTGGATGAATCAATGATCGTACTATCACCAGGGTCTTCTTGAATACATGGGCCCCCTTGTTTTCATTGCTTCATTGCAGCTCGTGCAGAAGCTGCTATTTATAGGGACTGATGTCCCGGGAGTAATGATGCCAGAAGTGCGCTCTTGGATCTCTACTATCAGTTCACTTAAACAAACTGATCCTAGATTCTGTGATGCTCACAGAAGACATAACAGCCAACCAATAAGCTCAGAGACCTTTTCTATTGTCCCAAGTCATCCCACTTTTGGTGCCAATTTCACACGTCACCATTTTCAGCTTAAATTTATGCTCTTGTCAATTTCAGCATCCTTGATCCTACAAATGCTTCTTTCCCAGTGTAAGCTCAGAATTTGTTTTACTAACTTGGAGTAAGTGAAATCATAGTATCTGTAGGCTATTCAGAAGCCACATGAAGAGTTTTATTTTTTTATAGAGTTATAAAATGTTCTTTATAATGAGGCTTTAAATGTCTGGACTTAGATCCTACATGTGAATGGGAATTTGAGTGTCTGGTTTAGAAAGAGCTGTTTGTCCTATGAGTTTACCACCGCTACACAGGAGCCCGAGAATCAAAAATTACCTCTTTTTACTGAGTTCCATTGGAAAATAAAAATGGGGACTGACTCACAATTGCATAAACCTGCCAGGTCCAGGGTTTGGCCTTGTGCAAAATTTCATCCGTTAGGTAGCACAGAACACAAAGTCCCAATTGGAATCAGGAACCAGCCTTAATGAAGTTATAGGAAGAAAAAGTTCCTCTGCTCTGCTGACAAATGTTTCTATAGATTTATTGATTAAAACTTTTAAAGCTGGGATTCAGATAAAAAGAAAAGATCTGTCCATCTAAATCAACTTTCCACACTTAACCTTCAACTATCAATAGCACAAATATTGGACAGGGAACACTTGATTCGCTGTGGAAAAAGACTTCAACAGTGTGATAGGGTCACTGATTTAAGGCCATGTTAATTGGGGTGACGTGTTTATGAAAGGAGGTGACAATGGTTCTTATCCTCGTACTTCTTACAAGCTCCAGCTCAGGGCTCTCAGAAATGTGCTCACTCCTCAGGGCTCTGTATTTGACAGCTTTTTTCCTGAAATGCTTCGTGAGTGCCTGTCTACTTCTCATTCTGGTCTCAGATTAAAGTCAACCTTCATTTACGGGCTACAGACAAAAAACATCTTTCATTTTCTTTCAAGCATTTATCATTATCTTAGAGGACTTCTGTTATTGATTATGTCTATGTGTCAACCCACAGACTGGTCTGGTTATGTTTTCCCCTACAATTGCACACACTCGACACAGTGTCTAGTCTGTACTATGTGTAATCTGCACGTATGTGTAATTGGGATAAGAACTCATCATTTGCTAGTTGGGTGAAAGACATATTACATTCACAATGATGAGGCTTTTTCTTCAGCACCTTGAAGATTACTTAAAAGTTTAGAGGAGATTTTACCAATACAAATAAAGTCCCAAGACTAGGGTGAAAGTTATTTTTGACTATCTAAAAGGGAAATCATTTGAACTAAGCATAGATTTACATATTTATTCAATAATATTTTCTAAGTACTATGTTAGGCATTGTATGTGCCAGGAAAACCGTAATAAGCAAAACAGAGAACAGACAATAATAGACACACAAGAAATTATGCATTGTCAGCTGGTAAGCACATTCTATGGTGGAAGAATCTAGAAAAGTAAAGAGGCTGGGACTGCCAGAGGGGGACAGAGGGTGGCTAGTATGTGGTGGTTGTCAGTAAAGGATTCCTAGCAAAGTTGTCATACCTTGAGGTTAATTGATGAAGCAGGACCAGTGAGCAGGTTTTAGGCAGTGGCCTCCAACCCCAGATGCACACTGAAATCAATCCAGGAGTTTTTAAAAGGGCTGACACTAGGATGCAACCTCAGAGATGTTGACTTACTGTCATTGGCCTTGTTTGCAGCCTGAATATCAGAAGTTTTTAAAGGACTCAAGTGATTCTGGTGTGCAACTCAGGTTGAAAATCACGTAGAGGGAGGCAAGATTTAGTAATAAGAAATCTGCAGTAGCTTCCTGGTGTTGTGCTGAGCCTCCCTGGCACAGAAATGTTTAAAAATAACGAAATCCAATGAGGAATTATGTTATACTCATTAGAATGTCTGTAATCAAACAAAACGTAAAAAAACCCAAAGTAGCGACTGTTGGCACAAATGTGGGGAAAACTGGCATCAAAGTGCGTTGCTGGTGGGAACAGAAAAAGGTGCAACTACTATGCAAACAAATGGTCAGGCCCTGGGTTTGATTCCCAGCAGCCCTCCACCACCACCACCACCGCCACCAGAAGAAAGATGGAAACAGAATGCCCATAGCATCAGGCAGTTCAATCCCAGATCTACAGGGAAAGAAAACTGAGAACCGGGACACAAACCATACCTATCATGATGTTCACAGCGGCATTATTGCTAAGAGTCCAAAGATGAAAACTCCTGCTTCCATTAGCAGGGCAGTAAATAAGTAGATTGTGGTGTGAATATGCTATTAATCATTACCTTGCCATTCAAAAGGAATGAAGATTTGATGCACATTGTAACAAGGAGGCACCCTGAAAACATGCTAAGTGAAATGAACCAAGCACAAAAGAACAAGTATTATATGGTTCTACTTATTCAAGAATCCAAAACTTAGGCCAATTCATAGGGAAGGAACATAAAATAATAGCTCCCAGGGGCTTGGGAGAAAGGAGAACAGGGAATTATTATTTAATCAGTATGGAGTTTCTGTTTGGGGTGATAGAAAAATTGTGGAAATGGGTAATGGTAATAGCAGCTTCATACCACTGTGAATATAGTTAACATCATTGAAATGTACATTTAAAACATTTATTTTATAAATTAGTGGTAAACTTTATGTCATTTTTTTTCCACAGGAAGAACACACAAGAACATCATGTATTATACATTGCTCCCGTTTAGGGGCAGGTAATCTCAGGTCCTTTTCCTGTCTATGACTGGTGATTTGCACGTGCCTTTAGAACAAGGGCTCTACAGCAAGCAACTTCTCACCATTAGAACCATCATCTCCTCAGAGGTTCCTTTGCTCTTTTAGGAAGAGAAAGCAGATTGAATCTGTCTGTGATGAACATCTCTGGCTCAGAGAATGTGTATTTCAAATCGAATGGGGCTTCAGGGTCAAAAAGCCCCAGATTCAACGTTATGAGTCATTCGTAGTATGTCAATTAGGAGCTAGAAATAGCTAAACTTTAAACTGTGAGTGACAAGCCAAATGCAATCATTTTAAAAGTGCTTTTTTAATTAGGCAGAACTGTCCATGGAACTAAATGTAAATTCAGTAACAATAATTAAACTGAATTAGGGACCACTTCTGTAAAATCCATGTGAAATCCTTGGGTTCCTGACACCCTTCAGAAATAGTCAGCTACTACCAGATGATTCTTAACTGGCCAAAGAGCTGTCCATTAAATTGAATAAATGATCTAAAACATATTGTTACAAGAAATTTTACATTTGCTTCTTATTAATTTATTATTTTAGTGATCTTTTGATCCATAATAAATTTTACAAACTTGCTTGCTGTGTTTGTCATTTTTTTCAGTTCTTACTGAGAGAAAATATAACATAGGTTGCTATGTATATAAAGCTAGATTGTAAAAACCAAGTATGATGTAAATATGTAATTCAAAAACCAAGAGCTCACACACAAAACGGTGCATGTGTACATACATTTTCTTAAGTCAAAAATATGTTCTTTTTTTGTTATTTTATGTTATTTTTGTACTGACTTTGTTAACAAGCTGTAAAACTTCAAATAAGTCACTTCTCTGTCCTTACAGAAGCCACCTTTACTTGTTTAATTCTGTCCAGTGCAATTTTTGCTGTGACAGTATACATTATTTTTACAACTATGTCAAATACATTCTGCATTACCTTTACAAGCTGCAAATGACTGATATCCATGATTGATGATAATATTTGCATTTCTAATATGTCTCAAATAAATCACTTTTTTCTTTTTTTCCTTCTCCTCCTCCTGCTCTTCCTCCTCCCTTGCCCTCTTCTTTTTTACTTGTGATGCTGTGATAAAACCTGGGGCCATGCACATGCGAGTTAAGGGCTCTGCTACTAAGCTATGATCCCAGCCCTCATGCTTGTGCATATTAATTTTTAAATATTAATGTAATGCAAGTAGATGATGATAAAGAAAATATAAAAACACTCTCCTTACTTCTATGAAAAAATAAGACAAAATTTTATAACAAAATAATTGGAAAATTACAGTTGTTAATATATTGTATGTCATGGTCTTAAAAAGAAGGATGAAACTAGATTACTCATACAGAATTATCCCCTCATAGACATTATAACAGCTCTTTTTGACTTACTGGCAAGCATTAGAGTCACGTGAAGGGCTTTCTTAAAACAGATTGCAGGACCTTCCCAACCAATTTCTAATTCAGAATTCAGAAGTGGAGCCCAAATGCTGATGCTGCTGGTGTAAGGACTGAGCTTTGAGAACCACTGCCCTAGCCTTTATTAAGGGATTCTTCTAATTTTAGATTTCATTCCCCCAACTGCAAAT